TACCTAAAATGTACCAATAAAAGAATTTAAGCAAAAAAAAAAAAGAAGAAGAAGAAAGAAAGAAAATATCAATGACTCTCTAAAGTAAAACTGAAATTAATAATAATGGCTTAAAATTTAAAATCTAAGCACTTAAAACTGAAGGGCGTACAGGCAAGGACAGTGCCTGCCTCCCTTCCTCTGCAGGACCTGAGCACGGGTGGATGCTGAGGCCCTGTGCCGCGCGGGCACTGGCAACTGGTGCAAACCTTCCACAGCTCCACCGTGTCCTCCTGCTGGTAAAGACAGAAACCGGGGCTCACCCAGCTTTTGTCCCATGCCCAGGACTGCACAGCAGAGCTGTATTCACACCCAAGCCTGTCTGCCACAAAACCCATCACCCATACAGAATTTGCTTCTCTTATTGCTCATTCCACTGACTACCACAAAGATCTCACTTAAATAATTTCCCTTCAGAAAATTAGTAAATAGACACCAAAATTCATGAATCTGCCAATTAAGTAGCAACTCCTTGATAAATTATTCAAGATAAAACTGTGTACATATTTACCACCTCTATACATATTTATAAATAAAAACTAAACTTCATATTCATCCTGTAACCATCTTGACTATGTCAACTAAGTAAGGCTAAATGCTACAGAAGTATCACTTTGAAAAGAGTAAGACAAACCAAATAAAACAAAACCATCCAGCCTCACCTCACTTTGGGGGGTTAAAGGAAAAAGATTCATGAAGCTATCAGGCTTAGTTATATCTGAAAATACATAGCAAAAAACAGCTTTTCCTCTTTGATGAGATGTAGACATCATCTTCATTCAGTAATTCCCTCCAAACAGAACTATTCTCTTATTTATTAATTTTATTAAAAAGAAACATGCTTCAAAGAAAAGGTATATTAAAAAGTCCATGAGGGCTGGGGATTTAGCTCAGTGGTTCTGGTGCCTGCCTTGCAAGTACAAGGTCCTGAGTTCAATCCATGGTACCCCCCCCCAAAAAAGTCCATGAACTATTATTTAGGATAAAGAACTCAAAATATCAGACCTCCTAAATTTAAAGGCCCAATGCAAAAATGGGCATCTGAAATAAAAAGACACTTCTCAGATAAAGAATTAGAACAGCAAATAAATATATCAAAAAATGTTCAACATCACTGGTCATTCGAGAGACGCAGATTAAAACAACGCTGCGATTCCATCTCACTCCAGAAAGAATGGCTGCTATCAAGAAATCAACCAATAACAAATGCTGGCGGGGGTGTGGAGAGAAAGGAACCCTTCTCTACTGCTGGTGGAAGTGTAGACTGGTGCAAGCACTGTGGAAATTAGTATGGAGATTTCTCAAAAAACTAAAACTACAGGTTCCATTTGACCTCTTCTTGGTGTCTTCCTGAAAGAATTAAAAGTATCATACTACAGCAATATATGCACACTCATGTTTATAGCAGCACAGTTTGTAATAGCTAAATCTTGGAAACAGTACAAATGCCCACCAACTGACAAGTGGACAAAGAAGATGTGGGGGTTTTTTATACAGTAGAGTATTATTCTGCCATAAAGAAGGATGAGCTTCAGACATTTACAGCTAAATGGATGGACCTTGAGACCATACTCTTAAATTAAATAAATCAGACACATGTATTTAAATACCACATTGTTTCTCTGATGTGAGAAACTGAATGTGCAAATAAGGACTAAGATGTATAAAGGATGTTGGGAAATGGGAAGAAATTGTTCAAATAGGAAGGGGAACAAGGGAAGAGGGAGGGAAAAAGGAAGGAAGGGACAAGAACAAAGGGAATAGAAGGAAAAAATGGAAACAAAGCTTTTGTATGTAGGGAAGTCAGGTGGCTTAAGGAGGGGAAAGGGAAAAAATAAAATAAAATTTATTTTTAAAAAGAGCACAAAAAAATAAAATTAAAAAATAAAAAAATCCATGAAACCCATCAGACAAACAAATGCTGAGACTATATAAATATCCTGTGACACTATACAATTTTTTAAAAATCTCCAAATATGAAAAAGATTAGTGTTTGTACTTTACCTTCCTGGAATCTTGTCTTGATGGGATATAAATATAATGCCCCAAGTGAGAATCACACAGTACAGTGTGTGGTCTCTCCTCATAGACCCTGGCACTGGGCGCATCTCCACAATTTTCCTTTGCTGAAGAAGTCACTGACACATTAAGTTTTGTTAGTTCTTCACTCAGCTGATCCACAAGAAGTTGCTGTTCTATTATTTTTTCATTCTTTGCAGAAGAGATGAGAATTTTAAAAATAGAGAACTTCAATACATGTACAGATTATGATTAGAAATTCATCTACACTGACCAAAATCAAAACTACCTAACAGCCCTATCAATTCATTTATCCAAAGACTAGCCTTTTGGTGTTCACAAGCAACTAGTACTGTTCTGAGGTAATGCCCCAGACACTGGGCTTGGGTGCTTTGCCACTGTGCTTCAGCAATTTAATTAGCTGTCCTTATAAAAGTATGGACTTTCTGAGAGAAAACCAAGAAATGATAAGTGATAGAGGTAAAAAGCAGAAGAAGTTATAGACAGCAGAGGTTGTTAGCAAGAGAAGTGGACAGTGGAAACAGTTGCGAAGTGAAAGCCTTTACTCACTAGAAAAGGAAAGCACAAAGAGATAGAAGACAGCCAGCTGACAGTCTTAGATTGCTTACAATAAACACAGGAAGATTAAAAATAAGACAGTAAAAGAAACACCATGTAACTATCAAAAGAAAGTTTATTAACTATAGTAATATGAAAGTAAAACAAAAACCATTAAAAGGGATAAAAGGTAAAAAAATTATCAAAAGGTCAATTCAGATAGGATAAAATAATTCTACATTTGTATGCACTTACTAACACAGATTCTATATACATAACGTAAAAATTATCAGTACCATATGAAGAAATAAGACAAATCTAAACTCATAGTGGGATATTTTAACATTACTTTCTAAATTAAAAACACACACACATACAAATCACCCTGCAGAATGGGAAAAATACGGGTTTAAATTAACAGGAGCAAATGTACCTAATGATTGCAGAACACGCATTCTTCTTTTCTTGTCTTTTCTTTTCATAGTACTAGGGATTGAACCCAGTGTTTTTGCACTGAGATACATTCCCAGCCCTGTTTAAATTTTTTTTATTTTGAAACAGGGTCTTAGTAAATTGCTAAATTGCTCAGTCTAGGCTGGAACTGTGATCCTTCTCTTCAGCCTCCCAGTGTGCTGAGATTACAGGTATGCACCACAACACCCAGCTAACACAAATTCTTTTCAAGCACATCTCGAACAACTACAAAAACTGGTCTTATGCTTAGCCAAAAAGCAAGTTTCAGTGCATTCAAAGGACTGAAATTCTACATACTGCATTACTGACCACCAGGCAATTAAGCTAAAAGTTAGAAATCCCACATATATTAAAGTAACTATTATAACTCATAGGGCAAAGGAAAAATTTACAGTACATATTTAAAAATACTTTGATCTGAATGTAGAATTCAGGCAAAAATAAACTTAGAAGGACATATATAATTTTAAATGCACATATTATAAAGAACAGAAGCTAAAGATTGATGAACTAAGCATTCATCAAAAGAAGTTAGAAAGATAACAGAAAGCTAGCCCTTCCCCAAAACAGGGAAAAAATAATAAAGAAAAAAATTAACAAAATAATGAATAAATATACAATAGTGAAGATCCTAATAAATTTGTGGAGGCAGGTGCTGGGGATCAAACCCTGGGCCTCACACATGCTAGGCAAGTACTCTACCACTGAGCCACTCCCCAGCCTGAAAACACTAATAAAACTGATAAAGCCTCATGACACTGTTTGGTGGGGTGCGGGTGGGGGTGAGAGAAGGCACAAAAACTCAGAATGGAAAAACGACTGTGACTCCACATCCAAAGACATCAAAGAGCCATGAGACCACCGTAAACAAGTACGCCAACATGTACACGTGAGAATTCACAGGCGGATACACCCCTAAGAAAGTAACCCTTATCACAACCAGGGAAAAGATACCCAGCACAGTGGCACACAACTGTAACACCAGCTCTTCAGGAGGCTCAGGCCAGAGGATCCCAAGGTCAAGCCCAGCCTGGCAATGTAGCAAGAGCCTGTCTCAAAAAACTGGGGAAAAAAACAGGAGAAAAGAGAAAATGACTATATTCATAATCAAAATATTCCCACAAAGACATATTGCATCCCAAAAGCTTTATATGTCAATCCAACCACTTACGTATGTGAAGAACTTTTCAGATTCCCTTCTTCCAAAGTATTAAAAAAGAGGGAAAACAACCTCACCCTTAGGGCCAACATAATCCCTAATAAGAATATTATGACAGAGAAAGACACAACCAATCTCACTTGGAAATACAGGCACTAAACCCTAAACAATAAATTAGCAACCCAAAACTAGGACAACTGTACAGAACAGAGTTAAAGCAGACCTGACTCCTACCCTTCTCAAGGGCCTGCATCAGGGCTGTCACCGGCATCTGAGAACTTTCATTCTGGGAGGTTCCCAACCACCTCATGAGTCATAGTAGCTCACCTGCTCAAGCAATTGGTACAAACGGTGAAGTTTCTACTGTACTCTTGCTTCTTTCTAGTAGTCTGGTAGTGTGTTCTAGGTAACAGGGACCTTTCATGACCAACCCTCAATACAAACCATAAGCACTGAGTCTCTGCTGAATTTCCCTGCAAAGTGATGTTGCATGTGTTGTCACAACTCACTCACTGCTAGGGAACTGAGCATGTCCTCTGTGACTACACTGAAAGGCGAGCTGGGAAGCCTATACCTGGTTTCCTCTAGACCAGTGGTGGTGAAGCTTTTAGAGCTTTCAATGATACAAACGGCCCTCTGCAGCACACATGCCATAGGTTCACCACCACTGCTCTAGACCATGCTATATACATCCCCTGTCTCCTGCAGGCTGTGCTGTGTACCCCTTCAATGCAGTGAATCTCAGCCATAAGAACAACCACATTCTGAATACTCCCAGGGAATCATCTAGCCTGAGGGTGGTCTTGGGGACCTCCAACACTATAATACTTCACAACAAAAATGAGGTTAATCCAGAAAAATGTGATTGTTTTAAAATTAGAACAATGTAACTCACCACATTACCAGAATAAAGGATAAAAGTCATATGATTGAAAAATCTTTTGAGCTGGGTGTGGTAGCTGTAATTCCAGCTACTTGGTAGGCTGAAGTAGGAGGATTACAAGTTTGAGGCCAGCACGGGTAACTTGCCAAGACCCTATTTCAAAATAAAGTTAAAAAGGGCTAAGGAGGTAGCTCAGTGGTATAGTGCCCATGGGTTCAATCCCAGTACCACAAAAAAATGGTAAGATCCAATATCCATTCACAATAAAAATTCTCGGCAGGCCCCAGGGATTTAGCTCAGTAGTACCGCTGCCTGCCTCGAAAGTGCAAGGTCCCGAGTTCGATCCCCAGGACCAAAAAATTTTAAAAATAAAAATTCTCAGCAAAGAAATTTTCCTTAGTTTGATAAACAGTAAGTAACTCATGTAGGGAATACAATACTGCTAGTGGAATGGGGAAAGCCTCTCCTCTAGGATAAGACAAGGGCACTGGCTATCACTACTTGTACTCAGTGCTATACTGGAGATCCCAGCAAATACAGAAAGGTAAGAAAGAGAAACAATGTTAAAAGATTGGAAAGCAAGACAGCAAAACTATCACTTGAAGGTGATACAATTATAAGTAAAAATCCAAAAGAATTTACTGGCAAAACATCAGAATTAAAGGGTTGGGGATGTAGCTCACTTGAAAGAGTGCTTGCTTAGTGCTTGCTTACCATGTGTGATGCTGACTTTGATCCCCAGCATCATAAAAAAAGAGAAAAAAAAAAACACAGGGAGTTCAGTCAGGTTGTTGGCTAGATGTCAATATACAAAAATCAACACAATTCCACATGACAACAAGCAATTAGGAAAACAAAATTTTAGTAAGATTCTACTTATAGGCACATTTTTAAAAACAAGTATTTGGCACAGAAGCAGGCACGTAGGACAGTGGAACAGAACAGAAGACACAGAAACAAATACATGCACCTTCAACTATCTGATTCTTTTTTCCTGGTACCAGGGATCAAACTCAGGACCTTGCACTTTTGAGGTGAGTGTGGTGCCACTGAGCTAAACTTCTGGCCCAACCATATGACTCTTTACAAAGGGGCAAAAAAAAAAAGTATGTTCAAAAAAAGAGCTTCTTCTGGAAATGGTGCTGGGAAAACTGGCTGCCACAAGCAGGAGATTGGAACTAGATCCTTATCTCTCACCCTGTACTCAAAGCAAATCAAAATGGATCAAAGACCTGAAATTTTGAAACTGCTACAAGAAAACAGAAGGGAAACACTTGAAGTCTTGGGCACTGGCTAAAACTTTCTGAATAGGATTCCAATAGCACAGAAAATAACAATCAACAAATGGGACTACATTGAAAAGCTTCCGGGGGCTCTACCACTGAGCTACATCTCCTCCTCTTTTTCTTTCTAATTTTGAGATAGGGTCTTATAAAGTCACCTGGGCTAGCCTGGAATTTAACAATTCTGCCTCACCCTCTCAAATAGCTGAGATCACAGATGTGCACCACCACACCTGGTTCCCAGTATGCTGACCTAATATTTGGGCCCCCAAAAGCAAATGAACAAAAACACAGACACAGTCAGAGCTCGCATATACAAATAGATGTGATTTGTCCTAGCAGCACTTCCACAGCACTTCCAGTCAGGAAAGAAACTGGACCCAAGGAAAAGCAGAAAGAGATAATCTGAACAGGACACACATGTGTAAATACCAAATAGTTTCTCTAGTGTGAGAAACTGAAAGTGTAAATAAGGACTAAAAGGATAATAGATAATGTGAAATAGGAAGAAAAGGGGCAAAGGGGAGGGGGAAGTGGGAGGGGTAGGGGAAAGGAAAGAAGGGAATGGAATTAATATGAGAAAAGGAAAAAATGGAAACAAAGTCTTTGTAAATAGGGAGGAATGGAGGGGTTGAAGGGAGGGCTGGGCAAGGGTGAAAAATAAGAACCAAGAGAGATTATGTAAAGGTGCAAATTTCCAATGATGAATGTCATTATATTGTATACCTAAAATGTACCAATAAAATTCATTTTTTTAAAATGTATTAAAAAAAATTTTTTTTTGGTATCAGAGATCGAACTCAGGACCTTGCTCTTGCGAGGCAAGGCAGCGGAA